GAAAAAAAAAAAAAAAAAAAAAAGGCGGGGGGAGAGGAGAAAGTTTCACTTAAGAAAACCCGGACTGCAGGACTGAAGAAGCAACCCTGCCCTCCAGTTCTCCACCATCGTTGTGTGGTTGCCTGCCCCCCACGTGTCTTCTCACAACATTTTCAGGGTCATTTGATTCCTGGCCAAGAAACAAGCAAAATCATCCCATTCCCTCCATGTTTTCGGATGAAAACTGATAATAAATAGAATTCCAAGAGAAGGAATCAGACAGAGAAGACCAAGGTGGGTCTACAAGGAATTGCACATGAGAGGCACTCGTTTATTTATGCTATAACAAGGTCATGACCATCTTACCATAGAAAGCCGGTCACCACTGTATGGTTAGTTGGACATATTTTATTGAGAATATGATTTTTCTCTTTGCTTTTATGCTCTGCAGTAGTAGGTTGGTTCAGTAATAAATATGTGAAGGTTTTGGTGTGATTTGAGGAGTTGGGAGAGGAAGAGGAGGAGCTGCAGCAGTCACTAAAGCCCTGGGCCTGCCCTCGCCCTGAAGCTCTTCTATTCCAGCTTGCAAAATGAAATAAGGAACTTTTTTTACCCCTGGTACTGGAGATTGAATGCAGGACCTTGTACTTGTCAGGCAGGCACGGTGCCGCTGAGCTAAAGTCTTCTTTTTTAACAAAAAGAAGTCACAAGCTGGGTGTGGTGGCGCACGCCTGTGATCCCAGTACTCGGGAGGTTGAGGCAGGAGGATTGCTGTGAGTTCACTGACCAGCCTGGGCTACACAGTGAGTTCCAGGTCAGTTCTCAACTACATAGTGAGACCCTGTCTCAAAAAACAAAACAAACAAACAAAAAAAGAAGTCACATATTTCGCATCCTAAAACTCCAGGTTGTCAGAAATCAGATAATTGCCTGTTTATGAAGTGGATTTTTCTTACAAACTATCAGGAAAGTTTCAATTATCTCCTGTATTTTAATCATGCTGTGCAAAATCAAATGATATTTGGACAACACTCCCCTGAAAACACATGACAACGTGATAAAAGAGGAAAGTCAGCCTGAAGACGGGAGTAAGGTGGCTGAGACGGCTACAAATTCTGTTTTGTAAATTGAAATCCATATTGCAAACAACTCTATCCTCATTGTTAGGGTTCAGGCGAAAGAGGATGAGTTTTCAGAGACTGAATTTTATAATTACCGGCATCTAATGGTTGTCAAAAAATGACCTCTGCCCCTCTACTGCAGTGCTGTCTGCTGGCTACAGCCTGCTTGGTTACCCAGAGGACGAAAAGCTGCTAAAGTCACCCTAGAAGATGAGTACAGAAGCAAACTAAAAAACTATGATGCAGGACAGACCCCTTGAGAAAATATGCATAAATGCAGAAACAAAAAAGAAATGAGTTGGATGTGGTGGCGCACGCCTGTAATCCCAGCATTTGGGAGGCTGAGGCAGGACGATTGCTGGGAGTTCGAGACCAGCCTAGGCTACATAGTTCCAGGTCAGTCTCAACTACATAGTGAGACCCTGTCTCAAACAAACAAACAAATAAATGAAACTGGGCATGGAGACACACACCTCTCTGGGAGGCTGAGGCAGGAGAATCCCAAGATCGAGCCCAGCCTGGACAATTTAGCAGCTTAGCAAGACCCCGTCTCAAAATTTAAAAAGAGCAGTGGATGTAGCTCAGTGTGAAAGCCTTAAATTCAATTTCCTGTACCACCCCCCAAAAAAAAAGAGAAGGAAGATAAGTGGAACAAAACCTAAAACAGGCCCAAAATACACAAATTCCCCTGTCCAAAAGCACTGCTCAGGGCCACTGAAAAACTCAAGACTGGGCAGGGCATGGTGGTGCATGCCTGTAATACCAATACTAGGCAGAAGTACCGCTTCAACTCTTAGGCCAACCTTGGCTACATATTGAAGTGTTTTGTTTGGTTTGGATTTGTTGCTACTGGGGACTGAACTCAGGACCTTTTGTTTTCAAGGCAGGCTTGGCACCACTGAGCTAAATTCCCAGCCCTACATAGTGAGTTCAAAGCCAGCCTGAACTATATAGTGTGACTGTGCCTCAAAATAAAACAAGACAAAACTCCATATTGTCCAGGCCTTTGAAACTTCTATCAACTGTTGTTTAAAACAGCAGCAGCAGCTGGGGATTTAGTTCAGTAGGAACCGCTGTCTGCCAGAGTTTGATCCCCCGAACAAAAACAAAACAAAAACCAGCAGCAGCAGCACTATCAAATGAGGTCCCAACCCTTATTCCACAGCTGGATAAAGGCCTCAAACCATTCTAAGCAGCACCTAAACAAATTCTTGTTCACTAATTTAGACTGAATCACGAAGTTTATCTCCATCTTCAAAAAATTCTTTCCTTTCTTGAATACTATAAAACTGTACTAACCTCACTGACTTGCTTCTGATCGATTGCTCTGTTTACTCAGGTTATTCCACCTAAACAAGGATGTCCCTACAATACCCACATCTTCTGTTTTCACTATTAACTTGAGTGGTGACCTATTCTGCTCCAAAGCTTCAACATCATCTTTTTAAAATAAATTTTATTTTATCCCTTCCCCCAACCCCTCCCTGTGTACAAAAGCTTTGTTTCCATTTTCCCCTTCTATTTTCATTTTCCTTGTCCCTTCTTTCCTCCCTCATTCCCTTTCCCACTTGAACACTTTCTTCCCATTTCCCAATATCCATTATACAGTTCAGTCCTTGTTTCCACTTTCACTTTCTCACAGAGAAACAGTGCAGTATTTAAACACGTGTGTCCGATTTATTTCACTTAGGACTATGGTCTCAAGGTCCATCCATTTAGGTATAAATCTGAAGTTCATCCTTCCTTATGGCAGAGTAGTACTCCATTATATAAAAAATCTTTATCCACTCATCAGTTGATGGGCATTTGGGCTATTTCCAAGATTTAGCTATTACACACTGTGATGCTATAACCATGGGTATACATATATCACTGCAGGATGATGCCAAAGAAGATACCAAGAAGAGCTATAGCTGGGTCAAACGGAACCTCTAGTTTTAGTTTTTTCAGAAATCACACTGATTTCCACAGTAGTCATACTAGTCTATACTCCCACCAACAGTGAGAAGGGCTCCTTTTTCCCCACAACCCCTCCAGCATTTGTTATTGGTTGCTTTCTTGATAGCACCCATTCTGGAATAAGGTAGAATCTCAGTGTTGTTTTAATTTGCATTTCATGAATGCCCAGTGATGCTGAACACTTTTTCGTATATTTATTTGCCCATTTCTAATTCACCTGAGAAATGTCTTTATTTCAGACGTCCCTTTTTGCATTTCAACCATCACCTTTATAAAGAGTTCATAATTTGATATCCTATCCAAAAAAAGGAAACAATTTTTAAAAACTATATTCAAAGCTAGGCATCACCATTACAGGTGCACACCTGTAATCCCAGGACACTGGAAGACTAAGGCAAGAGAATCATAAGTTTGAGTCCATTCTGGGAAAATTAGCAACTTACTGAGAACCTGTCTCAAATTTTTGAACAAAGTTGGGGGGCCTTGGAGTCAATCCCTGGTACTACAAAAAATAAAAATTCAGCACATTTTTTTAAAATTAAAAATTTGTTCTGGGCTGTGGATTTAGCTCAATGGTTTCACTGCCTGCCTCACAAGCACTAGGTCCCAACTTCGATCCCTGAACCCCCCCCCCAAAAAAATTTTTTTTTTTTGTTCAACCAGGTGTGATGCATGCCTGTAATCCCAGCACTTGGGAGGCTGAGGCAGAAAGATCGCCATGAGTTTAAGGCCAGCCTGGGCTACATAGTGAGTTCAAGGCTGGCCTAAATTTGCATAGATACCCCCTGTCTCAAACCCACCTCCCAATTTTTTAATCAGTTCTCTCCTTGGTAAAATTAGGTTTTAATGGTATCTTCTTTCTAGGGTTGTTGGAGGATTAAGTGATTATTATTTACAACACCTTACACGAAGTACTGTCCTATATGTTATTGTTGTTGCTGTTAATTTGTTTAAAAGTTACTTACTGAGCTGGGGATTTAGCTCAGTGGTGCTTCACAAGCAGAAAGTGTTGAGTTCGATCCTTGATACTGTAAGACTTGAATAAACTAAAGTGACTCCATGCTAATAGGCCAGACTGTGCTTCTTCATATGCTAATTGCTACCTTGGTTAACAGCCTGCCCAGGGGCAAATGGTATGACAAAAAGTGACATAGAGCATTTCCTGTATAAGATAAGCAATGTGTTTGCAGTCTTGTTCTGTGAATTCCCTCTTTGTTTAGTAAAACCTTATAAAAAGTACCTCAGCCCCTGAGCAGATGCCTCTCTGAGCTACCTGGCTTTGGGAGCACCGTCTGGCCAGACTAATAAAGGTCTATTTACCATCTAGCCTGGTGTGTTCTTTCCTGGGTTTCTCGTTTCTCCGTCGAGCTCCTGGAGCCTCGCTGGGTGTTAGGGCCCAGCATCATGGAGGCCTTTTTGGCTGTTCATGGCTTTCGGAGGTAAGGCCCTGGGTCTTGCCTCCAGAGCCCTCACTGGGCTATAGGACTCAGCATCATGGAGGCCTTTATGGCTGTTCACGCTCCGTGGAGTGAAAGTGAG